TGACTGGAAATCTGTTCTAGAATTTTTATGCCTTCATTTCTTGTGTTTCAATATCTGAGCCTCTGATATTTATTCTGATGTAAGGTATGAGGTTTCATTCCAACTGTTTTCTTAGATGGCTGCCAGTTGTGTGATTTAAATTCTACCTTTATCATATAATACATTCTCCTATCTATGAGCTGTAATCTTGTGCACTGATTTGGTTATTCATGTGACAATAACAACCTGTTTTAATTACTGCAACTTAGGTTTTAAGAACTAGTAGGACTAGTGCCTATCCTCAACTATTCTTTTCCAATTTTTAACACTACTTCTGCTTGCATTTTTCATAGAATCTATATTACCTTTATAGATCTTTACAATGTTTATTATTTTTTGCAAGAACATGGTAAGGTTTTCCATTTGCTCAAGTTATTTTTTTAATTTCTACATAGCATTTAAACAGATTCTTCATATACAAAAGATATCAGAAGCTCCCGTACACATATACCGGCCTTCAGTACCTGTGCCATGAACACTGCTTCCCTTCTGGTACTTTCCACTACTTAAGCACTTGATCCAAACCCTCTTACCAACTCAAAGATGTGGCTTCAGCAATTCTCTCCCCACATCTGCATCATTAGTTGGATCTCTAATGGATCGCTCACATTGGCATACAGTTATTTCTACCATCTTAAAAACAAAACAAGCTTCTTTTAACCCTGTTTTGCCCTATAATCTATCACCCCATTTTTTGGGACTCCTTTACAGTAAAATACCTCAAACGCATCACTTGTATTCACTGTCTCCAATTCTTCTTACATTCCCATATGAACCCACACTGGTTTCCACCTCTGCCACATCATCAAAACCCTTACTGTTAAGATCACCAGTGACCTCCATAATACTAAATCCACTGGTTAATTTTATGTTCTCACCTTTCTTGATCTTTCAGCAGCATCTGACACAGTTAACCACTCCTTGTTCAAATACTTTCTTACCTGGCCTCTAAGACAATCTCTAGGCTTTCTTTTCCTTCATGGTGGCTCTGTCTGTCTCTTTTGCTGGTTCCTCCTCTAAATGTGAGTGTTCCTTGGACTTTTTCTCTTCTTTTCTTCTAATCTCTTGACATCTATTCTCATAATGGCTTTAAATATTACCTACAAACGTGGATCCCCAAATTGCTTTCTATAGTCCAGATCATTCCCCAAACTTTAAGCTTTATATGTAGCTGCCTATATGACAACAGTATTTGGATTTCTAATAGGCATCTCAGACTTTGTGTTCAAAACATGAACTCTTGATATCCCAACCCTTTCTATTCAACTCAGTTGATTGAGAGCTCCATTCTTCTAATCTCTCTCTCAGATCAAACATTTGGAAAAGCATCCAAATTCTAAACATTTAAAAACCCACCACATATTAAGGAAAATTGAGAATAATCAATATCTAGAGCAGCGGTTTTCAACCTGTGGGTCACGACCCCTTTGGGAGTTGAATGACCCTTTCACAGAGGTCACCTAAGACCACC